TGTCCCTTCTGGCCGTGGCAGGAATCTGAAACCCATCTTCTTCTTCCTCAGACTCCCTGAGCATAACTTGGCTTCATTTTTGGACAGACCTTATGCATCATGGGTGTTTTTGGGGGGTTGTTTTGAGATGGACAGGGCTTCCTTTCCTCTCCCCGTCGTCGCCTTCAAGGTTGCCTTGCAAAGCGCGGCTTGCGTCATAAATGCTGACGATTTAGCGGATCGGATTCTCTTTGGGTCTTAGCTTGAGGAATTCCGCTGTTGCAACTCAGAGTAAGCTTCACCTCGCTTCCAAACACCACCACACAAGAGCTGTAGTTTTATAGTTTATTGAGGAAAAAATGCAAGTCACAATAAAGAATAAGCATTGCAAAGTTCCAAAGATTAAGGTGAAATGCAGAATATAGTTCCAAAGACCTTCGGGTAAAAACAGGAGACACAATCCTATTGGCAGCGTTCAAACCAGAGTCCCAGGTACAAGCAAGGAAACAATTGCCCCATGAATCACAATGCCAGAAATCCCAAGCGTACTGCTTTCCAGGCTAAGGTTATTCCATGAAGCTTTCAGGCTACTAAGCTACGTTGAACTGACACTTTCCCTTGGTTTACAAGAGGCCTAAATACCTTCCCAACATCCAAACATTAGGCCAATGGTTCTCAGCCTTCCAAATGCCACGACCCCTTAATACCCTTCCTCATGTTATGGTGACCCCCAACCATAAAATTATTTTCATTGCTACTTCATAACTGTCATTTTCTTCCTGTTATGAATAGTAATGCAAATATGGTTTTGCATTTTATAGAATTTATTTTTTTATTTTCTGTTGTGTTTCTTTGTGTTTATATTGTGTTTACTGTATTGATGAGCATGGCCTTATGTAAGCAGCCCCGAGTCCCCTGGGGGGGGGGGTAGAGGTGGAGTATAAATAAAGTTTATTATTATTATTATTAGTATTATTATTATTTTTATTATTATTATTATTATTTGTATCTGATATGCAGGATGTATTTTCATACACTGGACCAAATTTGGCACAAATACCCAATACACCCAAATTTGAATACTGGTGGGATTGGGGGAGGGTATTGATTTTGTCCTGTGGGAGTTGTAATTGCTGGGATTTAAAGTTCACCTATAATCAAAGAGCATTCTGAACTCCACCAGTGATGGAATTGAATCAAACTTGGCACACAGAACTCCTATGACCAACAGAAAATACTGGAAGGGTTTTGTGGGCATTGACCTTGAGTTTTGGGAGTTGTAGTTCACCTACATCCAGAGAGCACTGTGGACTCAAACAATGATGAATCTGGACCAAACTTGGCACAAATACTTAATATGCCCTAATGTGAACACTGGTGGAGTTTGGGAAAAATAGACATTGACATTTGGGAGTTGTAGTTCACCTACATCCAGAGAGCACTGTGCACTCAAGCAAGTATGGATCTGGACCAAACTTGGCACAAATACTCAATATACCCAAATGTGAACACTGGTTGAGTTTGGGGAAAAGAGACCTTGACATTTGGGAGTTGTAGTTGCTGGGATTTATAGTTCATCTACAAACAAAGAGCATTCTGAACCCTACCAACAATTGAATTGGGCCAAACTTCCCACACAGAACCTTCATGACCGACAGAAAATACTGTGTTTTCTGGTGGTCTTTGGTGACCCTTCTGACACCCCCTCGTGACCCCTCCAGGGGTCCCAACCCCCAGGTTGAGAAACACTGCATTAGGCTCTCGTCATCATAAAAGCATTGCGACGACCTTTCACCGAGCTGGCTTCTCGTCTGCTGGCCAAACGAGAACTCCGCCTGACCCGGAGATCAAGGCGAGCTTGCCAGGTCAAGTCACTATCTACACTTTTGGTATCAGCGTGGGAAGGCACCTGCTCGCTATCTCCTTGGTTAAAATTCCTTTGTGGTGGAAACGGCTGTGTTGACACTGTGAGAGCCTCAGAAGCAGGCCCAGAGATTTGAGGCACAGGAAGCCGAATCCCATCATCCTTATCATCAGAAAGGATCCGCATTGCCCCAAGCCCAGGCTATGTGAGACCTCATTTCTGCATTTTCAAACCCTTTTCCTTTTTTGCCAGGACCAACGTGATTCTGCAGAGGGCTGGCTAATAATCTCAGAGATTAATAGGTCGCGAAACTTTATGGGTTTGGGAGGAGGATGAAGAGGAGGAGCGCTCTCCTTCGGCCATTTCCCGGTCTCCGGCCATTTAATCCGTAATGGATTGACTTCCTGCAGAAATGTAACGGGATGATTGAGACGTGGAATGGATGTGCTTAATCCCCCGGACGGCACCGAGCGCGCCTCTTAATTTCGCCCTGGATTTGAGTAATAAGAACGTAACTTAAAATATCATTATTAGTGACTTATGGATCTCATTACGGTTTGAAATGTTGTCGGGATTTTCCGCAGCGGCCGGAGAGCGGGGCGATCGCTCATGAAATATTGAACCAATGACCTTAGCGATTCGCTGGTGATGAAAGGCCCCATCTAACGTTTTATTGAACATGATATTTGTGAAAAATGGAACTGCTCCCTTCTATTACTTAATCAATAGCACATTAAGCCATTTATCACTAATTTGATTCAAGAAGCTAGAAATCCCACTCCCTTCTCATCCACTTTAATTCTCATCACCCGGAGAGTGGGAACGAGGGAGCAGAAGGCAACGGAGGGATACGGATGCCTTCTCTTGCCGTCCAACCAAGAATAATGACTAGGGAGCGGAAGGAAATCTCTCACCAGAAATGACTCTGGTCCCATTTGAAAAAGCGGCCGTTTCGTCCCATGATAAGCTCCTTGAGAGCGAGAGAGAGATTAGTCTTCAGGGCAAAACACCCCTATCTTTTGGTTCTGCGGCAGACCTCTGCGTTGATCAGACGGCAGTACGGCCTTTTCCAGAGGGTTTCAAAGAGGCGGTGGTCTCTCTCTCCCCTGCTGAAGAAACCAGACTTAGATTCTTTGGGTCCCTCCAGTTACCGCCCAGTTTCGAATCTCCTGTTCCTCCGAGACCTGGGGCTCCAGGCTCAGCGGTGATCCTGGATTCATCGCTGAGCCTGGAGCCCCAGGTCTCGGCGGTGACCAGGGGAGCATTTGCACAGCTCAGGCTCGTGCGCCAGCTGCGCCCGTACCTTGGGAAGTCTGACTTGGCCACGGTAGTCCACGCTCTGGTTACATCCCGCCTAGACTACTGCAACGCTCTCTACGTGGGGTTGCCCTTGAAGACGGCCCGGAAGCTTCAACTGGTCCAGCGTGCGGCAGCCATGTTACTAACAGGAGCGGGACGCAGGGAGCATACAACGCCCTTGTTGTACCAGCTCCATTGGCTGCCGATTTGCTACCGGGCTCAATTCAAGGTGCTGGCGTTGGCCTATAAAGCCCTAAACGGTTCCGGCCCAAGATACCTATCTGACCGCATCTCGGCCTATGAGCCCACCAGGACTTTGAGATCGTCCGGGGAGGCCCTGCTCTCGATCCCGCCTGCCTCACAGGCACGCCTGGCGGGGACGAGAGACAGGGCCTTCTCGGTGGTGGCTCCTCGGCTGTGGAACACCCTTCCCGTGGACATCAGACTGGCGCCCTCCCTGATGATATTCCGCAAGAAACTAAAGACGCGGCTGTTCAAGAAGGCATTCGAACAAGAAGTGCAATAATGGAACAGGAATGGAACAACGGAAAATGATATTGGATTGTGGTTTAACGATGAGACGATGCGATTGACTTTTTGTATTTTTGTATTACTGATATTGAGATTGTTGATGTTGTTGATGACGATGTTTTTGATATTACTAGTTGTTGTTAGATTATGTCTTGTAATTTGCACCTATCCCTCCATGTTGTACACCGCTGTGAGTCGCCCCTGGGCTGAGAACAGTGGTCTATAAACACAGTAAATAAATAAATAAATAAGGTGTCCTTTTGGACCTTCTGCTGACGATGGAGGCCCAGGTCTCTGCCGTGAGCAGAACCAGGGGCGGCTCAACCATTACGCAAAGTAAGCCTTCGCGGTAGAGTTGATTTTGCCTAGGGGTGCTCTTGAGGCGCTCTTGGGGGAAAATAGACTTTGATATACGTGAGTTGTACTTACTGGGATGTATAGTTCACCTACAATCAAAGAGCATTCTGAACTCCACCAATGATGGAATTGAAACAAATTTGGCACACAGAACTCCCAAAGCGGAGTCCACGACATGCGAGTGTGGAGAAGAGCCAACCACTGACCACCTGCTGCAATGCAACCTGAGCCCTGCCACATGCACAATGGAGGACCTCCTTGTGGCAACACCAGAGGCACTCCGAGTGGCCAGATACTGGTCAAAGGACATTTAATCAACCACCAAGCTTGCAAACTCTGTTTTGTCTGTTTGTTTTTGTTAAAAATGTAATACAATTGTCTGGTTGCTCCTGACACGATAAATAAATAGATACCAGGAATGTGATCCAGATAAGACAGAGACGCTGTCGGTTAGGGATTGTGACCATTTGGGAGAAAAGTACAACCCTTTCCAGTTCTGTTTGGATGCTTCTCAACCCAGAACTTTCTTGGCCTACTCCACTGCTATCTGTGGACCCCTGCTTTCCCCTTTGTGCTTCGAAGCCACAGCCTTGTTGTGTGACAGATGCTGGGCTGCAGGAGCCAGAGGGGCACATCGTTCCCATTCCCGGGCAAAGCCTCACATACCGTGAGGATGTGATAGAAAGAGCCAAGCGTGTCGTCTTGCTGGATGTACCCTGGGAGAGCGCTGAGTGTGTGGAAGATGGCCAACGGATTGTTTGCGATGCAGGCGGTGTCCTCACGGTGCCAAACCCTTCGCTGCCGCCTCCCCCAAAGCACCGTCTCATTACTGGAACTCAACAAAAAAGCTCCTGTTTTGTAGTTTCCCATTCTGTTCGGGTTTCCCTTTCTGGGCAGATTTTTGGAGCAGATAGCGACGTATCGGCCTCAATTGTGTGTCTGTAATTGGATTTCTTTTCTCTCTCTGCAGGCCTCTCAGGAAGAGCTGAAGGCTGCTTACCGCCGGCTGTGTATGCTGTACCATCCGGACAAGCACCGGGACCCGGAGCTCAAGCGGCAAGCCGAGCAGCTCTTCAACCTTCTCCATCAGGCTTATGAAGGTCAGGAAGAGAGAGAGAGGCAAACCCAGACTCTCTCAACGGGAAAGAGGGTTGGGTCTGAAATAGTCTTGTGCCCACCATTTTATTTTGTTTCAGTACCTTGGACACAAACCATCTTCAAGCAGAACTTTCCAGGCATTTCATGTTGGTGACACACCTTTTAAATAATAATAATAATAATAATAATAATAATAATAATAATTGTTATTATTAATTATAATTATAATAATAATTATTATTATTATTAAATATTATTATTATTATTATTATATAAATAAAAATGTTCATTTGTGGGACTAACATAACTCAAAAACTGTATTGTCATTTAGTTTTTCGTCATTTAGCTTTTTTGGGGGGCGGGGTTAAGTCCTTTCCACTGTTTTTTGGGAGTTTTATGAGTGACGGTCACTCATTGGTCTGTCAGTGTCTCTAAAATCTGTAGTTGAAATGATTCAGGGCTGTGGTTCAGGTCCACAAGAATAGAATCAGTAGAATGTTTCCTGATTTTACTTTTGTGCTCAATGATCCTGAGCTTGACTTCTCTGCTTGTTTGACCAATGTAAATAAGTGAGCAGGGACAGGTGATGGCATATTATAGCGAATTTGTTGATCTATGTTACATTTTTGATGTATAGCTCTATGTTGCAATGTGGCAGAATTGGCAGAAATAGGGTAGCAACAGTAGAGGCAAGATTTATTTGCATATGTGCAGCCGATTGGTCGTATGCAGATGAGTGTAGGCCAGGATTTGAAAGGGCCACTGAGCCAGTATGGCAGTTGGAGGGAAGAGAGCTGAACATTCCAAAGGGGCGGAGTTAAGTTTAAAAATAGGCAGTTAGAGAGTCAGAAAAGTTAGTTAGGGAAGGACAGTTAGGAACTTCTGTGAGAGAAAAGCAGTTAGGAAAATGGAGCTTAAGTTTTAAGGAAAATAAAGAAGTGCCAGTGTGGTTTAAGGCGGAATATAGTTCTGTCAAGAGTGTATGAAAAAGTAACATATTTATTGATGTGAAACAGTTGAAGTTTGATAGGAAAAGTTAACTAAGTGAATGATATTGAATGTAAGACTCCAGACTGTAACAAAACACACAAATGTAACCATAAGCGTTGGAGCCAGAAGCTTAAAAAACCAAACTTTGTTACTTGGTTTACTACGAGAGTGTCTCAAGCCTGTAATATAAAAGCCTCAAGGTAAAAGCCCCAGCCAATATAAAAAGGGGAAAATACATCAATACAAGGCAGTAAAAAGATTTAAAAGAAAATATTCCCCCCCCCCCCACATCATCACACATTAAAAGACTCCTGAAAAAGGACTGAAGTAGTGAAAGGTCGTCCCACATATACTACACCTTCAGTGGACCAGGTAGCAAAGTGATTGATTCTGTACTGAGTTTTAGTGTGCTGGTTCTGAAAGGACTTAGTTTGTACAAACTGTGGACATATAGAACAGTGATGACAAGCATAGTTTCCTATTAGAATGGGTTTATTGGCTTAGGGTCTGTATTTGAGTGAATCAAAACATCAGGGATTCTCCTATAAGCAATGGGGGGGGGGGGTCTCTCACAACCCGGTACATCTCTCACCAAGTTCCAGTACTTTTTCCACTGTTTTTATAGTGTGTTTAGATAGGTTGGTCAAAGCGAGAGGCCATACTATAATAATAATAATGATAACACTCTATTTGTACCCTGCTACCATCTCAACAAGGGACTCTGTGCGGCTTACATGAGGCCGAGCCCAAATACAACAATACAAGCAATAAATGCCCGTATAGCCGTGGTAAAAGCCCTAAGTGAGGCTTTAGCCCATGTTTGGTTAGATACGTCCCGAGATTTCCTCCATATGCACTCTAGCCCCATTCTCTTACGTTTCATCACAGCCAGCTCCTCAATGAACCAAGACGATGGTGTGTCATGACGCAACGAGATGGGGCATTCGGGAGCGATCGTGTCTATCGTCTTGGCCATCTCACTATTATAGCGATCAACCAGGGTGTCGACAGAACCGCCAGACTCCATGACAGGAAGAGCCCCAAGATTCCTCAGGAATCCATCCGGATCCAACAGTCTCCTGAGGCGGACCATCTTGATTGGTTCTCCACCCCTGCGAAAGTTAGAGGTCACAGCAAGTCTAAAACTGATCAGATGATGGTAGGACCATGACAATGGAATGACCATCAGAGGACTCTTCCACTCTGACCGTTCCGCTGTCTGCAACAAAAACTAGGTTGAGTGTATGTCCAGCCTGATGGGTGGGTCCAGATATAACTTGTGATAGCCCCATGGTCGTCATGGCGACCATGAAGTCCTGAGCCGCTCCTGTTAAAGAGGTCTCTGCATGTATGTTAAAGTCTCCCAGCACAATTAAGCACTGGGAGACCAGGACCAAATTGGAGACCATATCTGCTAGCTCAGGCAGGGAAACTGCTGAGTTGCGGGGTGGGCGGTACACCAACATGGTTTCCCACCCTCAGGTGAACACTTGAATCCAGAAGATTGCGGTACAGCGCATCTGACCATGGCGATGGACTGCCGAAAGACTACTGCAACCCCTCCTCCCCGCCCCCCAGACCTAGCCTGCTGGTGCACCCCGATGCCAGGTGGGCACAACTGGGTGAGATTTGCCCCACCCAGCTGGTCCAACCAGGTCTCGGTGATGCAAGCCAGGTCCGCCTTCTCATCCAGGATCAAATCTTGGATGGCCGCAGTCTTTCCATTGACGGACCTGGCTTTTACCAGCAGGACCTTAAGTCCGGGGGGGTCTGCCATGGAGTCTACCACATCCCACCTTCTCCAGAGTCGCAAGAACTCTGTTGGGCGGGAGAGTGTGGCCGATTGAGTAGGGACAACTAATACAGATGGAGTTTCGAACTGATACAGTCCAGATTTGGGGGGGGGGTCCTAACTGGGGAGCCGTTTGTGGATTTATCATTGGAGCCAGATGTTGTATGGTGAGAGGGTTCCAATGTATCAACTACCCATTTTTCTTTTTGGTGTTCCTCGGTGACGCCACATCCTGAGCTTGGCCATTCTCCTCTCGTCAGACCAAAATAGAAGGCTTTCTCCTTATCTCCTGTAAAAAGAGAAAGAGCTGATGGCTTATCTTGGCGTGCGCAGGAGGGAAGAGCCTGTGAAGGAATGAAATGTTAATGCCCTTCACGGCTCCGTATGACTAAGAAAACATGATCTCGCCAGATTCTTCCGTTCGGGGCTCTCCTTGAAACGGTTGCCCTTCGGATTATATCCTCTTATCTAAGGTTTGCCTGAGCGAATCTCGCATCCATCTGAATTATTGATAGTTTGCAGCGTTTTGGGGGAGATTTGAGGAGAAGTCGCAGGGACCTAAGCAAATTAAGGCTTGGATCCAAGGGGTGTGTGTGTGTGTTGTTTTTCAAAATTATTTCCTCCCTGAGCAAAAACTGCCACCCCAGCAGAGCTTGGCACCCAGAGGGGAGCAGGATGACGAATAAATGACTTTTCCCCTTATTAAATCCCAGAGATTAGCTCGAGAAATTGGGCTCTGCTGTTTTCTAGAGGGTCAGCGTTTCTTTCTTCCCATTAGACTCCGACGGCGACGTGGGAGGAATCGTTTGCAGGCGATGCTTAATTAGCACGTGGGATTCGTTTTTAGCGCGAGACGAGAAGGGAAGCCCGCAGAGGCCTCAAAGTGGGCTACGCGGGTTGGGAAAGTCCTCTGCATTTGCAGGGTAAAAAGAAGCATCGGAAAGGCAGCAAGGATAGCGTAATCTATATATATAAAAATGCTCTGTGCATAATGAGTACCTTAAAAAAAAGAACCAATGAACGAAATCACACCAAATTTGGCAACAAAATGTCTCACAACACAAGGAGTGACCATCACTCAAAAAATTATGATTTTGTCATTTGGGAGTTGTAGTTGCTGGGATTTATAGTTCACCTACAATCAAAGAGCATTCTGAACTCCATCAACGATGGAATTGAACCAAACTTGGCACACAGAACTCCCATGACCGAAAATACTGGAAGGGTTTGGTGGGCATTGACCTTGAGTTTTGGAGTTGTAGTTCACCTACATCCAGAGAGCACTGTGGACTCAAACAATGATGGATCTGGACCAAACTTGGAACAAATACTCAATATGCCCAAATGTGAACAACTGGTGGAGTTTGGGGAAAATAGACCTTGACATTTGGGAGTTGTAGTTGCTGGGATGTATAGTTCACCTACAATCTCAGAGCATTCTGAACACCACCAACGATAGTGAAGTAAGTTTGAGCTTACATAGGAAGTTGGGTTGTGGTTAAGTGCAACAGGACCAGACAGTTCCCTGAGAGCCTCATGGGGTAACCGCATCAAGTCCCCAGGGCAGGGGGCTTCGGAAGGATGAAGGAGTAGCGAGAGCAGCAGCAGCGAGGCTTGGATTTTGACAATCAGCTGTTTCCTTAAAATTATATTCTTAAAATTCAAAAGGTTATTCCCCGAGCGCAGAGGTCCAAAATGCAAAAAGTGAGATGGCAGATAGGGTTAGAATTTAGCTAGGAAAAATGTGGCACCAAAATGGAGTCGATCTGTCAACTTGCGGATACGGGGTCCAAGGGGTTTCCATATCGGCGGTTTGAAGAAACGCAGTTTCGGCCTCCCCGGGACGCCAGGGAGGCATCCCGGGCAGGCCTGCAGTCTCCCGCAGCCCAGAAAAAGTTAGTTCATGCTTTTTTGATAGTTTCAGGCAGGAAGGGGACACAAAGTAACAGCCTGGAGAGGTTGAGGTTACAATTCATCTTACTTTTATTAAGGGATTTGTTACATAGTTTGGGGCCGGGAAAGGAGTGAAAGGAGAGAGCACAAAGTACCTGGTTAAGGCTGCTCCTGGGGCAGATTTCATCAGTTTTGGCCCAACTTGGCATTCAGGAAGTGTGGAACTCCCTGCGGCTTGTCAGATTAGCTTGAAGGCAGTAGTCTGGGATGCCCTCGACGACAATAGAATTGGGCCAAACCTCCCACACAGAACCCCCATGACCACCAGAGTGGGCCACAGCAACGTGCGGCAGGGGATGGCTAGTAAATGTAATAAAAATGATACTAATAACAGAGTAAAATAATAAATAACCTTGACTCGAGTATAAGCCGAGGGGAGCTTTTTCAGCATAAAAAGTCTCGAATGGTTCGAGACAGTAAGTCTTGAATGGTTCGAGTTTCAACCGGCAAGGCATTCCATAAATAAGGGGCCACGATTGAGAAGGCTCTATGCCTAGTAGATGACAAATGATAGGTCCGGATGTTAGAGACTGCAAGCAGATTTTGGTCTTCAGACCGGAGTAATCTCTGGGGTTGGTAGGGGGATAAGCGGGCCCTCAACAAACATCAGAAATGTACCCTTTCTCTGTTAAAAAAAAAAAGGAGCAACATGGAAGAAAATGTTTTTAAAACAAGAGGTGACATGTAGAGGTCATACAAAGTTTGAGCTTACATAGGAAGTTGGGTTGTGGTTAAGCGCAAAGTCTGCAGGAGCAAGTAGGTACTTTACATCAAGGCCTTATATGGTCTGGGGCCGGCGTACCTGAGGGCCTGCAGACTTTGCGCTTAACCACAACCCAACTTCCTATGTAAGCTCAAACTTTGTATGACCTCTACATGTCAGATGGAAAAACAGCCTCCACTGTGAGCAGCGCAAAGAGACGCATGCAATGGACACAGTCCCCGGCAAGCTTGGTTTTTTGGTCCAAAGATGTGACCCGGTAGAGATCTCTGTCTAAATATATCTCTGGAAAGAGCTTGGACATGTTGTTCTGTTTGGACTCCATAACCAGATCCCTGCTTTGAAACCTGATTTTCCTTTTCAGTGCTCAGCGACCCACAGACCCGCGCCATCTATGACATTTATGGGAAGAGAGGCCTTGAAATGGAAGGATGGGAGGTAAGGAAAGCCAAAGGAAGGGGCAGACCGGCATTCCTTTCTGGGATCTTTTGGGCTAGAGGCAGGCCACCCAGCATTAGCCCACCCTTCCAGAAGGAAATGGGAGGAAGAGAAAGGAAATGGGGAAAGGGATTGGGGGGGGGGGGGAAAGAGAAAGAAGGGAAGGGAAAGGAAGGGAAGAAAGGTAGGAAGGAAGGGAAGAAAGGTGGAAGGAAGGAAGGAAGAGAAGGAAGAGAAGAGGAAAAAGAAAGGGAAAAAGGAGGGAAAGGGAAGAGAAGTAGGTAGGAAGGAAAGGAAAGGTAGGAAGGAAGGGAAGAGAAAGAAAGTTGGGAAAGAAGGAAAGAAAGATAAAGGAAGGGAAGGAAGATAGGAAGGAAAGAAAGGTATGGGGGGAAAGGGAAGAGAAGGGAAGGGAAGAAAAGTAGGTAGGAAGGAAGAGAAAGAAAGGGGGGAAGGAAGGAAGGAAAAGGAAAGAAGGAAGATAGGAAGGAAAGAAAGAAGGGGAAGGAAGGAAGGAGAGGAAGGGAAGAGAAAGAAAGGGAAGAAAAGAAGTAGGAAGGAAGGGGAATGAAGGAAGGGAAGAGAAAAAGGGGGGAAAGAAGGAAGGAAGGGAAGGAAGATAGGAAGGAAGGAAGGAAAGGTATGGGAGGGAAAGAGGAAAGGAAGGGAAGAGAAAGGAAGGGAAGAAAGGTAGGAAGGAAGGGAAAGGAAGGGAAGGTGGGAAGGAAGGAAGGGAAGAGAAAGAAAGGGAGAAAAGAAGGAAGGAAAGGAAGATAAAGGAAAGGAAGGAAGATAGGAAGGAAAGAAGGAAAGAAAGGTATGGGTGGGAAGGAGAGAAAGGGAAGGAAGGGAAGAGAAAGAAAGGGGGGGAGAAGAAAGGAAGATAAAGGAAGGGAAGGAAGATAGGAAGGAAGGAAAGGTATGACTGGGAAGGAGAGAAAGGGAAGAAAGGGAAGAGAAAGAAAGGGGGGAAAGAAGGATAGAAGGGAAGGAAGATAAAGGAAGGGAAGGAAGATAGGAAAGAAAGGCATGGGGGGAAAAGGGAAGAGAAAGGAAGGGAAGAAAAGTAGGTAGGAAGGAAGAGAAAGAAAGGGAGGAAGGAAGGAAGGAGGAAGGAAGGAAGGAAGGAAGGAAGGAAGGAAGGAAGGAAAGGAAGATAGGAAGGGAAAAAGGAAAGAAAGGTATGGGTGGGAAGGAGAGAAAGGGAAGGAAGGGAAGAGAAAGAAAGGGGGGGAGAAGAAAGGAAGATAAAGGAAGGGAAGGAAGATAGGAAAGAAAGGTATGGGGGGAAAGGGAAGAGAAAGGAAGGGAAGAAAAGTAGGTAGGAAGGAAGAGAAGAAGGGAGGATAGGAAGGAAGGAAGGAAGGAAGGAAGGAAGGAAGGAAAGGAAGGGAAAGAGGAAGGAAAAAGGAAGAAGGAGCGGGAAGGAGAGAAAGGAAGGAAGGAAGAGGAAGAAGGGGAAGGAGAAAGGGAAGATAAAGGAAGGGAAGGAAGAAGGAAAGAAAGGTATGGGTGGAAAGAGAGGGAGGGAAAGGAAGGAAAAAGGAGGAAGGAAGGAAGGAAAGTAGGAAGGAAGGGAGAAGATAGGAAGGAAAGAAAGAAAGGTATAGATGAAAGAGGGAAGGAAGGGGAAAAGAAAGAAAGGGAAGAAAAGAGGTAGGAAGGAAAGGAAGGAGGAAGGAAGAGAAAGGAAAGGGGGAAAAGAAGGAAGGGAAAGGAAGGAAGGAAGGGAAGAGAAAGAAAGGGGGGAAAGAAGGAAGGAAGGAAGGAAGAGAAGGAAAGAAAAGGAAGGAGGGAAAGAGAGGGAAGGAAGGGGAAAGAAAGAGGAGGGAAGGAGGGAAGGAAAGAAGGGGAGGAAGGGAAAGAAAGGGGGGAAAGAAGGAAGGAAGGAAGGAAGAGGAAAGGGAAGGAAGGGAAGGAAGATAGGAAGGAAAGAAGAAGAAAGAATGGGGGAAGGAAGGGAAGAGAAAAGAAAAAGGAAGAAGGAAAAGTAGGAAAGGAAAGGAAAGGAGAGGGAGAAGGTGTACGAAGGAACCCGAGGAAGGGAAGAAGGAGCCACCAAGAGAGCTTGGCCACCGTTGCCAGCGCCTTGACGTGTTGACGTGGTGAGGCAGGCCTTCCTTCTTGCCGCAGGTGGTGGAGAGGCGGAGGACGCCGGCCGAGATCCGGGAGGAGTTTGAGCGCCTGCAGAGAGAGCGGGAGGAGAGGCGGCTGCAGCAGCGGACCAACCCCAAGGTAAGCGGAGGGAGCCCAATCAAATCTAGTTACCTCTAGACTGGACTACTGTAATGCTCTCTACGTGGGGCTACCCTTGAAGACGGCCCGGAAATTACAACTTGTCCAACATTCAGCAGCCAGACTAATGTTATGAATCGTAATGTAAATATCCGATCCGCAGGTTCGCTGGACCAAATTTGGCACAAAGACCCAATACACCCAAATTTGAATACTGGTGGGATTGCGGGAGGGGTATTGATTTTGTCCTGTGGGAGTTGTAGTTGCTGGGATGTATAGTTCACCTACATTCAAAGAGCATTCTGAACTCCACCAATGATGGAATTGAACCAAACTTGGCAAACAGAACTCCCATGACCAACAGAAAATACTGGAAGGGTTTGGTGGCATTGACCTTGAATTTTTGGAGTTGTAGTTCACCTAAATCCAGAGAGCACTGTGGACTCAACCAATGATGGATCTGGACCAAACTTGGCACGAATTCTCAATATGCCCAAATGTAAACACTGGTGAAGTTTGAGGAAAATAGACCTTGACATTTGGGAGTTGTAGTTGCGGGGATTTCTAGTTCACCTACAACCAGAGTATTCAGAAGCCCACCAATGATAGAATTAGGCCAAACTTCCCACACAGACCAACAGAAAATACTGTCTGTGATGGTCTTTGGCGACCCCTCTGACACCCCCTCGCGACCCCTCCTGGGGTCATCTCAGGTTATCAAAGGGGCATCAAGGAGGGTCTTTAGGGGTCATCTCAGGTCATCAAAGGGGCATCAAGGAGGGTCTTTAGGGGTCATCTCAGGTCATCAAAGGGGCATCAAGGAGGGTCTTTAGGGGTCATCTCAGGTCATCAAAGGGGCATCAAGGAGGGTCTTTAGGGGTCATCTCAGGTCATCAAAGGGGCATCAAGGAGGGTCTTTAGGGGTCATCTCAGGTCATCAAAGGGGCATCAAGGAGGGTCTTTAGGGGTCATCTCAGGTCATCAAAGGGGCATCAAGGAGGGTCTTTAGGGGTCATCTCAGGTCATCAAAGGGGCATCAAGGAGGGTCTTTAGGGGTCATCTCAGGTTATCAAAGGGGCATCAAGGAGGGTCTTTAGGGGTCATCTCAGGTCATCAAAGGGGCATCAAGGAGGGTCTTTAGGGGTCATCTCAGGTCATCAAAGGGGCATCAAGGAGGGTCTTTAGGGGTCATCTCAGGTCATCAAAGGGGCATCAAGGAGGGTCTTTAGGGGTCATCTCAGGTCATCAAAGGGGCATCAAGGAGGGTCTTTAGGGGTCATCTCAGGGTCATCAAAGGGGCATCAAGGAGGGTCTTTAGGGGTCATCTCAGGTTATCAAAGGGGCATCAAGGAGGGTCTTTAGGGGTCATCTCAGGTCATCAAAGGGGCATCAAGGAGGGTCTTTAGGGGTCATCTCAGGTCATCAAAGGGGCATCAAGGAGGGTCTTTAGGGGTCATCTCAGGTCATCAAAGGGGCATCAAGGAGGGTCTTTAGGGGTCATCAAAGGGGCATCAAGGAGGGTCTTTAGGGGTCATCTCAGGTCATCAAAGGGGCATCAAGGAGGGTCTTTAGGGGTCATCTCAGGTCATCAAAGGGGCATCAAGGAGGGTCTTTAGGGGTCATCTCAGGTTATCAAAGGGGCATCAAGGAGGGTCTTTAGGGGTCATCAAAGGGGCATCAAGGAGGGTCTTTAGGGGTCATCTCAGGTCATCAAAGGGGCATCAAGGAGGGTCTTTAGGGGTCATCTCAGGTCATCAAAGGGGCATCAAGGAGGGTCTTTAGGGGTCATCAAAGGGGCATCAAGGAGGATCTTTAGGGGTCATCTCAGGTCATCAAAGGGGCATCAAGGAGGGTCTTTAGGGGTCATCTCAAGTCATCAAAGGGGCATCAAGGAGGGTCTTTAGGGGTCATCTCAGGTTATCAAAGGGGCATCAAGGAGGGTCTTTAGGGGTCATCAAAGGGGCATCAAGGAGGGTCTTTAGGGGTCATCTCAGGTCATCAAAGGGGCATCAAGGAGGGTCTTTAGGGGTCATCTCAGGTCATCAAAGGGGCATCAAGGAGGGTCTTTAGGGGTCATCTCAGGTTATCAAAGGGGCATCAAGGAGGGTCTTTAGGGGTCATCAAAGGGGCATCAAGGAGGATCTTTAGGGGTCATCTCAGGTTATCAAAGGGGCATCAAGGAGGGTCTTTAGGGGTCATCAAAGGGGCATCAAGGAGGGTCTTTAGGGGTCATCTCAGGTCATCAAAGGGGCATCAAGGAGGGTCTTTAGGGGTCATCTCAGGTCATCAAAGGGGCATCAAGGAGGGTCTTTAGGGGTCATCTCAGGTCATCAAAGGGGCATCAAGGAGGGTCTTTAGGGGTCATCTCAGGTCATCAAAGGGGCATCAAGGAGGGTCTTTAGGGGTCATCTCAGGTTATCAAAGGGGCATCAAGGAGGGTCTTTAGGGGTCATCTCAGGTTATCAAAGGGGCATCAAGGAGGATCTTTAGGGGTCATCTCAGGTTATCAAAGGGGCATCAAGGAGGATCTTTAGGGGTCATCTCAGGTTATCAAAGGGGCATCAAGGAGGATCTTTAGGGGTCATCTCAGGTCATCAAAGGGGCATCAAGGAGGGTCTTTAGGGGTCATCTCAGGTCATCAAAGGGGCATCAAGGAGGGTCTTTAGGGGTCATCTCAGGTCATCAAAGGGGCATCAAGGAGGGTCTTTAGGGGTCATCTCAGGTTATCAAAGGGGCATCAAGGAGGGTCTTTAGGGGTCATCAAAGGGGCATCAAGGAGGATCTTTAGGGGTCATCTCAGGTCATCAAAGGGGCATCAAGGAGGGTCTTTAGGGGTCATCTCAGGTCATCAAAGGGGCATCAAGGAGGGTCTTTAGGGGTCATCTCAGGTCATCAAAGGGGCATCAAGGAGGGTCTTTAGGGGTCATCTCAGGTCATCAAAGGGGCATCAAGGAGGGTCTTTAGGGGTCATCTCGGTATCAAAGGGGCATCAAGGAGGGTCTTTAGGGGTCATCTCAGGTTATCAAAGGGGCATCAAGGAGGGTCTTTAGGGGTCATCTCAGGTTATCAAAGGGGCATCAAGGAGGGTCTTTAGGGGTCATCTCAGGTCATCAAAGGGGCATCAAGGAGGGTCTTTAGGGGTCATCTCAGGTTATCAAAGGGGCATCAAGGAGGGTCTTTAGGGGTCATCTCAGGTCATCAAAGGGGCATCAAGGAGGGTCTTTAGGGGTCATCTCAGGTTATCAAAGGGGCATCAAGGAGGGTCTTTAGGGGTCATCAAAGGGGCATCAAGGAGGGTCTTTAGGGGTCATCTCAGGTCATCAAAGGGGCATCAAGGAGGGTCTTTAGGGATCATCTCAGATCTTCATAGGGGCCATCAAGGAGGGTCTTTAGGGGTCATCTCAAGTCATCCAACGGGGCACCTTTAAGGGTCATCTCAGGTCATCAAAGGGGCATCAAGGAGGGGCTTTAGGGGTCATCAAGGAGGATCTTTTGGGGTCATCTCGGGTCATCAAAGGGGCATCAAGGAGGGTCTTTAGGGGTCATCTCAGGTCATCAAAGGGGCATCAAGGAGGGTCTTTAGGGGTCATCAAGGAGGATCTTTTGGGGTCATCTTGGGTCATCAAAGGGGCATCAAGGAGGGGCTTTAGGGGTCATCTCAGGTCATCAAAGGGGCATCAAGGAGGGGCTTTAGGGGTCATCAAGGAGGGGCTTTTGGGGTCATCTTGGGTCATCAAAGGGGCATCAAGGAGGGTCTTTAGGGGTCATCTCAGGTCATCAAAGGGGCATCAAGGAGGGGCTTTAGGGGTCATCAAGGAGGGGCTTTTGGGGTCATCTTGGGTCATCAAAGGGGCATCAAGGAGGGTCTTTAGGGATCATCTCAGATCTTCATAGGGGCCATCAAGGAGGGGCTTTAGGGGTCATCAAGGAGGATCTTTAAGGGTCATCAAAGGGACATCAAGGAGGGCATCACGGAGGGTTTTTAAGGGTCATCTCAGGTCACCAAAGGGTCCCGACCCCCAGGTTGAGAACCACTGATCTGGAGGAACTTGCCATTTGCAGCAAAGGAGGCTGGGCTTATATTAGTTTTGTAATGTCATCTACGGAGTGATAAACAAAGGAGGGAGAGGGAAGGAGAGCGAGCAAGCAAGCAAGCGCTGCGTTGTGACTCTGCATCCAGCAATAAAAGCCAGCCATCTGGGTGTTTACAGCCATTGCTTGTTGGCATTCTATGGAAATGCCTCTCCAGACAAACAAGGGAGGGCAGCTGCGTGCCTTCAGCATGTTTTTTGGGGGGTTGTTCTACGAAAAGGGGTTCCAAAGAAATCCCGAATGGAGAGCCATCTGTGTGAATTAATCCACAGGTGACCACTCGGGAAACTACGAGGTCAATGTGCTCACCTATTACCTATAATGATAGAATAAAATAATAAATGGAATAGCATGGAATAAAAATAATAATAATAATAATAGAGTAAATAATGGAAATTTAATAATAATAGTAATAATAATAAAGTAATAAATGTAATAACTACAACAATCGAGTAAAATAATAAATGCAATCTGGGTGGATCTTTGTCTATAGAGATCTACATAAAAAACTCCAACCATCACCCAAGTCATCTTCGTGGTTTCCTCCTTTCTGTTGAAATTGTCCACAGAAGTTGTAACTGTATTTTTTTTTTGTTTTTTTGTTATTGTTGGTCACACCTTGTGTTGTGAGACGTTTTGTTGCCAAAGTTGGGGTCATTTGGTCCCATAGTTTTTTTGTTTTTGAGGTACTCACGACGACATGAGCATTTTTATATATATAGATATATATATATATACACACACACACACGCACGCACGCGCACACACGCGCGCACACACACACTAGCTGTACCCGCCATGCGTTGCTGTGGCAAACCTTCCCTCCCTCTTTCTCTTCCTTCTTTTTCTCTCCTTCCTTCCCTCCTTCTTTCCCTCTTTTTCTTTCTCTTCTTCTTCCTTCCTTCTCTACCTGTTTCTTTTCTCGCTTCCTTTGCTCTTTGGTTCCATCCTTCCTTGTCTCTTTCCTTCCTTCCTTCCCTCCCTCCCTCTTTCGTTCCTTCTCTCCTTCCTTCCTTCTTTCATTTTTTATTTCCTTCTCTCTTTCCTTCTCTACCTTTCTTTCTTTCCTTTTCTCCTTTCCCTCTTTCTCCGCTCTTCTTTCCTTCCTTCCTTCTCCTTCTTTTTTCTTCCTCTCCTTTCCCTTCTCTTCCTCCTTCTTCCCTCTTTTTCTTTCCTTCCCTCCTTCCTTCCCTTTTTCCTCTCCCTCCTTCCTTCCTTCTCTACCCTGTTTTCTTTCTTTCCTTCCCTCCTTCTTTCCCTCTTTCTCTCCCTCCTTTCTTCTCTATCTTTCTTTCTTTCCTTCTTTCTCTCCTTCCCTCCTTCTTTCTCTCCCCTTCCTTCCTTCTCTACCCTTCTTTCTTTCCTTCCCTCCTTTCCCTCTTTCTCTCCTTCCTTCTCTATCTTCCTTTCTTTCCTTCTTTCTCTCCTTCCCTCCTTCCTTCCCTCTTTCTCTCCCTCCTTCCTTCCTTCTCTACCCTTCTTTCTTTCCTTCCTTCCTTCCCTCCTTTCCCTCTTTCTCTCCTTCCTTCTCTATCTTCCTTTCTTTCCTTCTTTCTCTCCTTCCCTCCTTCTTCCTCTTTCTCTCCCTCTTCCTTCCTTCTCCCTCTTTTTTCTCTTCCCTTTCCTTCCCCTCTTCTCTCCTTCCTTCTCTATTTCCTTTCTTTCTTCTTTCTCTCCTTCCCTCTTCTTCCCTCTTTCTCTCCTTCCTTCCTTCCCCCTTTCTGTGTATGTGTTTTGTGTGTGTATATGCATATATGTGTGCTTGTGTATCTATATGTGGTTTTGCACATTTTCTCTAGATTGTGCTCTGGCTGTGTGGGAGGGCCCAGGAAGCCACCCCAATAACGGGAAGGCGTGCCCAAAGACATCCATTGCCATGCCAAAGGTTGGCCTTGAGGCGAGCAGGCCCAAAGGCCTTGTGGGGCAGGGGGAGAAAGAGAGAGCGAGGGGCAGGCCTCAGTTATTTATATGACTCGCAGTGGTCTCAGAAAGTTAGTGAAAGTACTGTGAGTCCCATCATCTGTGGTCCATCCTCCTCCAAACTGTACCAGGATGTAGAGTGGGTCATGGGGGCTCTGTGTGCCAAGTTTGGTCTTGATCAGTCATTGTTTATGGTCGCAGCAGTCTCAGAAAGCGAATGGAGGTACTTCAAGTCCCATCATCCATGGTCTGCCCTCCTCCAAACCACAGTAGGATGTAGAGTGGGTCATGGGGGCTCAGCGTGCCAAGTTTGGTCTTTATTGGTCTTTGTTGGGGGCCGCAGTCATCCCTGGGAACCAAACCATTTGAATGTACTACAAATCCCATAATCCGTGATCCGCCACCCCAAAACTGCGCCAGGATGTAAAGGGGTTCATGGGGGTTATGTGTGCCAAGTTTGGTCCAGGTGCGTCACCCGTGTTGGTCACAGTGGGCTGTGAAAGTGGCAGTCAATCAGAAAGCTGCCACATACACTTCCGCCCTTCCGCCCTCCGCAAACATACATACAAACATTCACTTTTATTATATAGATAGATATAGATTATTCTGCTGTGTTTATATTTGTTTCAGGGCCTTTTTTCAGGGAGAGAGGGTGGTCTATCAATAAATGTTAATGTTATTATTACTATTACTATAGTCTACCTTTTTGCGGGGCCAGTTCAAATGGATTGTTCTTCTCTGTTTCTCCAGGGGACGATCAGCGTCGGGATCGATGCCACCGACCTCTTTGACCGCTATGACGAGGAGTACGAGGATGTCCCCGGGAGCAGCTTCCCCCACGTCGAAATCAACAAGATGCACATCTCCCAGTCCATTGAGGTGAGAAGGAAAAGGCTCATTGGGTATCAGCCATTGGTTGAGGTTCTGGGTTTGAGCCTGCCACTTTTGGACTCTTGCTTGCTGAGGTGTCCCAGCAAGTGCCTCTGTCGATCTTAGAAAACTATGTCTTGATTTAAGTCGTTGACGTGCTGGCTGAGACCCAAACAGGGGATGAGCTGGAGGTGTTTCTGCCTTGGTCCTTTCACTATTGGCTTCTCCTTCCCGGCGAATACCAGCTAAACAGTGTAGTTTCTCCAGTGATGTAGGGCGCAGACACTCCATGTCTCATTCAGAGCCACATCCACTGTTTGAGTGTGGTGAGATGTGTTCCACACTGGGCATGCATACTCAGCAGCAGAGTAGCATAGCGCAAGGGCAGATGTCTTCACTGTGTCTGGTTGTGATCCCCAGGTTATGCCAGTCAGCTTTCGTATGATATTGTTTCTAGCGCCCACTTTTTGCTTGATGTTCAGGCAGTGCTTCTTGTAGGTCAGGGCACGGTCCAGAGTGACTCCCAGGGATTTGGGTGCGCTGCAAGGCTCCAGTGGGATTCCTTCCCAGGTCATAATCCTCAGAGCTCGGGATGCTTGTCCATTTTTGAGATCAAAAGCACATGCCTGTGTTTTATATGAATTAGGGATCAGCTGGTTTTCCCTGTCATAGGCAGTAAGAGCACCTAGAGTTTCGGAGAGCTTCTGTTCTACCATCTCAAAGCTCTCTGTTTGAGCGGTGATGGCACGATCGTCAGCATAGATGAAACTCTCTGTCCCTCCTGGCAGTGGCTGGTCATTTGTGTAGATGTTGAACATGGATGGAGCAAGCACGCTCGCCTGAGGCAGGTCGTTCTTCTGTTTCCGCCCTCTGCTTCTCTGGCCCTGGAACTCAACAAAAAAGCTCCTGTTCTGTAGCTGATTTCCTTGAGTGGTGATGGCACGATCATCAGCATAGATGAAACTCTGTCCCTCATTGCTGGTCATTTGTGTAAATGTTGAACATGGATGGAGCAAGCACGCTCCCCTGAGGCAGGTCGTTCTTCTGTTTCCGCCCTCTGGCTGTCTCTTGTTGACTCATCCCATGCGCCTTCGAACGGCCTTGTTTTCCCGGACTGTTACCCACAGTGAAGCCTGGTCATCCTCTGTCTCTCTGTGTTTCAGGCCCCGCTGACGGCCACAGACACGGCCATCCTGTCCGGGAACCTCTCCACGCAGAATGGGAACGGAGGTGGATCTGTCAACCTGGCGCTCAGGAGGGTGACCTCCGCCAAAGGCTGGGGAGAGGTGAGGGCAAGATTATAATAATAATAATAATAATAATAATAATAATAATAATAATAGGACTTTATTTGTACCCCGCTACCATCTACCAAGGGACTCAGTGCAGCTTACATGAAGCCAAGCCCACAATACTGTCAGAGTTTGGGGGTGCACAGCAGAAGGATTGCTAGATCAACAGACACTGTGATGTAAAAAATCAGGACTCTGCAGGCTTTCAGCTACAAAAGAAACTAAGTTTTACTAAGTACATCAAACACACGTCTTAGCACAGCGAGCTACAAACAGGAACTAGTGGAAAACCGAAAGTCTCTCTGAACACGTGCTTATCTTCACTCTGGCTGAGGCGGGTGACTCCCTTCTGTTCCCAGCCAGAACACACATTATCTCCTTTCTCCCAAGGTTACGTAGTCACAGCCTCAGTCATTTCTAATACACAGTAGAATCCATCTTGGAAATACATGGAAACACATTTGAAAACACGTATATAACTAAATTTATCCTGACAATAACAATAACGGCAAGAATACAAAAACAATACAAAAACTCATAGCAAAATAAGCAAAATAACAGTAACTCGGCGCATTTAAAAACCTATGGCTGGGCCAAATGTAATAATTTAAAAAAATTAAAAATAATTGGGATAGAGGTTTTGGAGAGGGAAGAAATGTGCAGACAATCTAAAATCATTATTAAAGTGTGTTTGAGAACATATTGCTGGGAGTTTCCTTATTCTGGGAAGGCACACTGGAACAACCACATTTTCAGGCTCCTACTAAAGAGTGCCAGCGTTGGGGCATGTCTGATGTCCTTAGGGAGTGAATTCCAGAGTCGAGGGGCCACCACCGAGAAGGCCCTCTCCCTCATCCCCATCAATCGCGCCTGCGATAGAGGTGGGAGCGTGAGCAGGGCCTCTCCAGATGATCAAAGAGATTGTGTGGGTTCGTACACAGAGATGCGGTCACGCAGGTACAAGGGAGAGAACCTTTTCCACTGTGGCTCCCCGACTCTGGAACTCACTGCCTGGAGAAATCATGAAAGCCCTTTCCCTAGAAATCTTAAAAAAGGACCTTAAAACCTGGCTCTTCTGCTGCGCTTTTGATGAGCAGGTGTATATATATATATATATATATAGTCGTGTCAGGAGCAACCGCTCCTGTTGTGAGAGAATTGGCCGTCTGCAAGGGGATGCCTGCATGATTTCTGATGTTTTATCATCCTTGTGGGAGGCTTCTCTCATGTCCCCGCATGGGAGCTGGAGCTGATAGAGGGAGCTCATCCGCCTTTCCCGGGATTCGAATCTCGAGCAGGTATATAATCCCACATGACTGCTTAGCCTCAAAAGTCCTGTCATTGGAGTATATGCCCCCCCCCTTTGTGGGAAGGCGGGTCCCAAACCGTTTAGGGCTTTGTAGGTAGGAACCTGCACCTTGAATTGGGACTGATAAATGAACGGCAGCCAATAGAGCTCCTTAAACAGGAGGGTTGACTGCTCCCTATAAGGAGCTCCAGTTAGCAACCTGGCCGCCGCTCGTTGAACCAGTTGGAATTTCCGGGCCGTCTTCAAGGGCAGCCCCACGTAGATTGCATTACAGTAGTCCAGTCTAGAGGTGACTAAGGCATGGATCACCCTGGCCAGATCCGCCTTCATGAGGTACAGTCACAGTTGGCGCACAAGTCTAAATTGTGCAAAGGCCCTCCTGGCCACCGCTGACGCCTGAGCCTCAAGCATAAGTGATAAGTCCAAGAGGACTCCCAAACTGCGGACCTGTGACTTCAGGGGGAGTGTAACCCCATCCAACACAGGTTGCCACCCTATACCCCGATCCGGTTACGATCGACCAGAAGGACCTCTGTCTTGTCAGGATTGATCTTCAGCTTGTTCATCCTTTTAGAACAGAGCCAGGCACTGGTCCAGTATCCTCGGGGCTTCCTTGGAGTCTGGTGGAAAAGAGTAGTAGAGTTGGGTGTCATCTGTGTAGAGACTCCAAAACTCCGGATGACCTCTCCCAGCGGTTCCATGTAGATGTTAAAAAGTATGGGAGACAGAATGGAGCCTTGCGGGAACTAAACTTCTCATTTCTTTTAATGCTGAGACTCTTGGAATCAAAGAATTGGAAGAGGCCCAAGGGCTATCTAGACCAACCCCCTTCTGCTATTATTAATTGCTAGCGATATAAATAAAAATGTAATGTGCGTTTGTGGGATTCACAGAACTCAGAAACCACTGGACGAATTGACACCAAATTTGGACACAAGACACCTAACCACCCAATGTATGTTCTTCACTCAAAAAAATGTACACCTTCCTCGCCTCCTCCTCCTCCTCCCCTTCCTCCTTGCCTGGGGGCTCCGCTGCTGCCACTCATCCGCCCCTTCCTCTTCCAACGGGGAAAGGAGGAGGAGGAGGCCGCCCTACTGACATAGCAGGGAAATTGATTATCATTTATTTCGGTTTCTTCTACCCCGCCCTTCTTCTCACCCCGAAGGGGACTCAGGGTGGCTTACAAAAGCAAAGGCACAATTCGATGCCCGCATCACATAACAGTCAAAAACAGAAATAGCATCAATTCACAGTTAGACAACAATTCCTACATTACAACCATAAAACCGATAAAATCAATAAAACCAATACAAACCCAATTCCTCCTCATAAACGGTCAGCGTTCACTATCTCATAGTTCCACTTTCAATTCCACGTTGTCAGTTCTGGTCATACTCGCCTGATTATCATATCTAGTTGTCAGATTTCCCAAAGGCCTGGTCCCACAACCACGTCTTTACCTTCCTCCTGAAGGAGAGGAGGGATGATGATGCCCTAATTTCCCCCGGGAGTGAGTTCCACAGGTGAGGGGCCACCACTGAGAAAGCCCTGCTCCTCGTCCCCACCAGCCTCACTTGTGACAGTGGTGGGGTCGAGAGCAGGGCCTCCCTGGATGATCTCAAATTCCGGGGTGGGACGTAGAGGGAGATACGTTCGTTCAGATACACTGGACCGGAACCTACAGGGTTTTGTAGGTCAAAACCAGCACCTTGAATTGTGCTCGGAACTGAACCGGCAACTAGTGGAGCTGGCACAACAGGGGGTCACGTGCTCCCTGTATGTCGCTCCGGTGAGCAATCTGGCTGCCGCTCACTGGACCAGTTGAAGTTTCCGAACAGTCTTCAAGGGCAACCCCGCGTAGAGCGTGTTGCAGTAGTCTATACAGGATGTAACGAGAGCGTGGACCACTGTGGCCAGATCCGACTTCCCAAGGTACGGGCGCAGCTGGCACACAAGTTTTAATTGTGCGAAAGCTCTCCCGGCCACCGCCGAGACCTGGGGTTCCAGGTTCAGCGATGAGTCCAGGATCACTCCCAAGCTGCGAACTTGTGTCTTCAGGGGGAGTGTGACCCCTTCCATCCAGCACAGGCTGTAGCCCTATGCCCTGTTCGAAAGAGAAGGGGCTCCATGTGGCAAGCCTCCGCTTCCACTCCACTCCCGCTTCTGTGTGTGTGTGTGGGTGTGGCTGTGCACACGCGCCTGGCTTTAACGGCCGGCTGTTTCCCCGCGAGGAGGAGGAGGAGGGGGCGTGGCCATGTGTCTCTTTGTGGGTATGCAGTTTAGAAGTCCTTTCTGCTTTGTTTTCGTTGTTTTTTTGAGTGAAAGACATACATTGGGTCGTTAGGTGTCTTGTGTCCAAATTTGGTGTCAATTCGTCCAGTGGTTTCTGAGTTCTGGTAATCCCACAAACGAGCATTACGTTTTAATATATATAGATATTGATGGGTGGATATATAAACATTTATTGGGACTCCACGAGAAGTTTTTGCTTCTGCGACTGAAAATGTTTTTATTGTGTCTGCCTCATGCGATGATGATGATGATGATGATGATGATGATGATGATGACGATTTCCCCCTCTTCTCCTTGCACAGCTAGAGTTGGGGGCTGGAGACCTCCAGGGGCCTTTGCTCGGCATGAAGGTGTTCCGGAATCTCACGCAAAGATGGTGAGGCCTGCTTTCCAGGGGAAGATGCCATTGAGGCAGCCTTTGTCGTACGCAAAGTGGGTCCTACTTTTAGTGGGTTGAGGGGTGGAGTGGCCACAGCATGCGTATACATTTATTTTGGTTAACGACCAGCAATATTGCAATCATAGAATTAGAATCCTAGAGTTGGAAGAGACCTCCTGGGCCATCCAGTCCAACCCCATTCTGCCAAGAAGCAGGAATATTGCATTCAAATCACCCCTGACAGATGGCCATCCAGCCTCTGCTTAATAAAGACCGAGGCAAAGAAGGCATTAAGTAGTTCTGCCTTTTCCCTATCCCCTGTCAGCATTGCCCCATCTTCTCCTCGAAGAGGTCCTATCGCCTCCTTGTTTTTCCTTTTTCTACTGACATAAGAATAGAAGCCCTTTTTATTGTTTTTAATGTCCCTGGCAAGCCTGAGCTCGTTTTGTGCTTTAGCCTTGCGGACCTTTTCCCTACAGGTGTTTGAATTCTTCTTTGGTGATTTCTCCCTTTTTCCACTTCTTGTGCATGTCTCTTTTGTGTTTTAGCAGAGTTAGAAGTTCTTTAGACATCCATTCTGGCTTCTTTGCACTTGTCCTATTTTTTCTCTTTGTTGGCACAGTTTGCAATTGCGCCTTTCATTCTTGAGAAATTCCCATCCATCCGTAACTCCCTTGTCTTTTAGTATCTGCACAGAATCAACAAAACAGAAGATTCGTCATTAAAATACAGGGTTTTGATGAACATGGAAGTTAAAATCAGTATTCAATATGTATTTTACAGTGATAAAAACTGACTTCAAACAGTAATACTTCTAAAACAGGGACCCCTGATGTTTTATATTCCCTGTATAGTTAGTTTTATTGCTTGTGGTTGACCAAAATAAAGAATAATAGATAAATCGAGATAGATAGATCTTGTCGCAACTCTGGGTAGTTTCCACCTTGCTCAAGACACCACCACACACCAAGGCTGTAGGTTTTGTAGTTTATTGAGAAAAAGCAAAATCAAAACAGAGAAATAAAGATGCAAAAGTTCAATAGGCACCACAGAGTCTTAAAGGCAAAGTTTCTAAGATCCAAAGGCAAATCACATGAAGCATAATCCCTTAGCAATGGGCAAACAAGACTCCATGGTAGACAGATGAAATCAGGATCAAAATCCAAGTCTCCAAGAAGCCAGAAGCGTTCCGCAAAAGCCAAGGTAATTGCACAGAAGTTAACAGGGAAAGAGCAACATTGGACTGACCGGAAATGCCTGTCGGCTACTTCATTAAATAAGTTTCCCTGACATGAAAGCATTGCGTTGACCTTTGGTTTCACGCTTGCTGGCAAGGCGTGTGCTTCTGTGAACTCTCTCTTTATCTGTTTCTCTCTCTCTATGTCTCTATTTCGCTCATTAGAAGGGTTGAGAACCACTGGAATAGAGATAAGAGTATGAGAGAGAGAGAGAGAAGAGAGAAAGGAGTCCTCCTTACGCCTGGTATAACACAATCAGGATCCTGGGGATTATATTTTCTAATATATCCCAACAAGCTTGAATGGTTTCTGACGTACAATAATCTTGATGGTTACTGTAAACAGTTTCTTGACTTAGAAATGGGTAAAACCCCTCACTCTACAAGAATACAGTAGCAGTGAGTTCCACAGACTAACCTAACCAGGTTGTCCCTAGAGCAGTTAGCTACACTCTAAAAGCAATAAAATCAATACAAACCTCATTGGTGGTCAGCGTTTCACAGTCTCATAGTTTAAGTTCCAATTTCCACAAATTGTCGGTCCTATCCATCTGGTTTCCATATCTAGTTGTCAGGATGCCCAAAGGCCTGGTCCCACAACCACATCTTTTTCTTCCTCCTGAAGGCAAGGAGGGATGTTGATGCCCTGATTTCCCCCGGAAGTGAGTTCCACAGGTGGGGGGCCACCACTGAGAAGGCCCTGCTCCTCGTCCCCACCAGCCTCACTTGTGATAGCGGTGGGGTCGAGAGCAGGACCTCCCCAGATGATCTCAGATTCCGGGGTGGGACGTAGAGGGAGATGCGTTCGGACAGATACGCTGGACCGGAACCGTATAGGGTTTTGTAGGTCAAAACCAGCACTTTGAATTGTGCTCGGAACTGAACCGGCAGCCAGTGGAGCTGACACAACAAGGGGGTGGTGTGATCCCTGTATGTCGCTCCGGTAAGTAGTCTGGCTGCTGCTCGCTGGACCAGTTGAAGTTTCTGAACAGTCTTCAAGGGCAACCCCATGTAGAGTGCGTTGCAGTAGTCTATACGGGATTTAACAAGAGCGTGGACCACTGTGGCCAGATCAGACTTCCCGAGGTACGGGTGCAACTGGTGCACAAGTTTTAATTGCGCAAAAGCTCTCCCGGCCACCCCGTCTAACACAGGCTGTAACCTCTCAAGCTGACACTTTTCCCTCCCATCTGTCCTAACCAATCAAAAGAGAGCTTCAGCTCCTCCCCTCTTCTCCTTTTACACTCCCAAGATGTCTGCCTCCTTTGCTACCACTCCCAAAATGGAGTCCGCCCTACTGCCATTCCAGGCTTCTCTTTCGGCCTACGAGGTAAGAATCCTGACCCCTGCCTTCCTTCCTTTGCAGCTTTGTGACGACGCATGGGGCTCTGCAGTTCTCCTCCCGGGGGGTCCGCCCTGGCTTGACCACCGTCCTGGCGAGGAACCTGGACAAGAACACCATGGGCTACCTGCAGTGGCGCTGGGGCCTCCAGTCCGCCATGAACACCAGCCTTGTCCGGGACACCAAGACCAGTCACTTCACCCTCGCCTTCCAGGTGGGGCCTCCACCCCCCCCCCATTGTGTCCTTTTCGGGGTTGGTCTCGTAGCAAAGAAAGCATCCTTGTGTTTTTTATGTCTTCTTTTTTGACAGCTGGGCATCCCCCACTCCTTTATGATGGTCAGTTACCAGCACAAGTTCCAGGACGAGGACCAGACGCGGGTCAAAGGGTCCCTCAAGTGAGTGTTGGGGTCCTTTCAATACATAATAACAACAACAACCCACCTCTCCTTGCGGCTCAACGTGGCCGGTCCAGTGGAGTTGATGGCGGAGGACCATCGCTTCAATGCTGGTGGTCTTTGCTTACAACAACCCACCTCTCCTTGCGGCTCAACGTGGCCGGTCCAGTGGAGTTGATGGCGGAGGACCATCGCTTCAATGCTGGTGGTCTTTGCTTACAACAACCCACCTCTCCTTGCGGCTCAACGTGGCCGGTCCAGTGGAGTTGATGGCGGAGGACCATCGCTTCAATGCTGGTGGTCTTTGCTTACAACAACCCACCTCTCCTTGCGGCTCAACGTGGCCGGTCCAGTGGAGTTGATGGCGGAGGACCATCGCTTCAATGCTGGTGGTCTTTGCTTACAACAACCCACCTCTCCTTGCGGCTCAACGTGGCCGGTCCAGTGGAGTTGATGGCGGAGGACCATCGCTTCCATGCTGGTGGTCTTTGCTTACAACAACCCACCTCTCCTTGTGGCTCAACGTGGCCGGTCTAGGGAGTTGATGGCGGAGGACCATCGCTTCCATGCTGGTGGTCTTTGCTTACAACAACCCACCTCTCCTTGTGGCTCAACGTGGCCGGTCTAGGGAGTTGATGGCGGAGGACCATCGCTTCCATGCTGGTGGTCTTTGCTTACAACAACCCACCTCTCCTTGTGGCTCAACGTGGCCGGTCTAGGGAGTTGATGGCGGAGGACCATCGCTTCCATGCTGGTGGTCTTTGCTTACAACAACCCACCTCTCCTTGTGGCTCAACGGGCTCCGGTTTTTTTACTATGGACGGGTTGATGGCGGAGGGACCATCGCTCTTACATGCTGGTGGCCTTTGCTACAACCCACCTATTTGCGTACCAGCTAACGTGGAAAGGGGGAAGGGAGAGGGGAATGGAAGTAGGAAAGTAGCTTAGAGTGGGGGTGGGATGTGAGTAAAAAAAGATGACATTTGTCTCATGATTGTTTCCAAGGATTGGCACAAGGATTTCGCCTCGTACCCGCCCCCCGGTTCCATTCAGCGCCTCCGATGGAACGTCCCCTCTTCGGAGTTCAAGCGTGCGCTACGCCTCCTGTCTGCTCCACCTTCTCCAGTCTCACCCCCCGCCTTGTCAGAGGCAGCCCTTGGTCTCCAGGAGTCCAGTCTTGCCCCGGTCCTCAAAACACTCTCCGCTCTTGGTGGCAACACTTGCTTCACTCGCATCGTCTGCGTGTTGCATTTCAGTGTCCAATGTTGACGTTACTACAGTCCACGT